GTTTATTGCTAGCGCATTATTTTGTTGCAGGCTGGCTGTTTACAGACAGTTTTTCATTAGCAGGCTGGTATCCAATGACCTGGAAACTCCCTAACATGATGACTATCTCAATGTACTGGACTTGAGTTAAATGGCTTTAGGCTTGGACTCAATGACTTGGATTTTGAGGTCTCTGTACAAATGCTTCAAGCCCTTTGTTATGCAGACCTGCCGTTGGATTTTCTGTCAGTATTTGCACAGGAAAGCAAGATAATTAGATATTCATTTCAGCACAACGACCTCTAGAAGACCTGTGTCTCAGCAATGAAACAAATTGAAGAATGGTTAATGAGCGGTTTAGAATCTGAACCAAAATATGTTGGATTATTTGGCTTTGTAATAGGTATTACACTGAAAAGTGAAATGGAGAAGTGGCTGAAGGATTGGAGTGCAAGGTGGAATGATGCCAGTAGCACAAGTTCAATCCCTGTACCATCTCTGTTTAGTTGGGGGAGAGACAGGCTAGCTGTCTCCTTGCCTCAACACACCCTTGCTGCAGCGTGGTGTCCTTCAATTGAGAATCGCTTGATCCCTCTCTTGCTCCCCGTCTCACGCTGTCGAAAAGAGAAAAGCTGAGCTTGTGGAGCATATGACCCATGCCCTGTACCCCTGTTGGTCCTCCTAGTTTGGTGTATTCAGTTTGAAATCATGAGCTAATGATTGTACGCACATGCCCCCATAAGATTTGTCTTGTGCGTTTTCCTTTATCACAAAAGGATGATATTTCCAAAAGTAAACGAGTAAAATTTGCGCCAAGATGAACAGTGATACTACAGAGTACTTGATGATAATTGTCCATACCAAGGAAATGTGGACTCCGATGCATTTTGTAATTATAGCCCATGATACCTTAGATTGTAAAAGGAAGGATTAGACTCTCTGAAACCTCTAGCATGTCTGGCAGAAATTATTTCATAGGAGCAGGAGGAGGCTGTTCAGCCCTCCGAGCCTGTTCCGCCCATTCTTCACGATCATGGCTGATCATCCAACTTGGTAGCCTAATCCTGTTTTCTTCACATAACCTTTGATCCCATTTGCCTCAAGTGCTATATCTAGTTGGAAAGTACAGAATGTGTTCCTTGAGGCATCAGATCCTTTTGTTAGAAGTTTTTGTACCTTTTCACACGTTAAGATTGGTTTTCCCAGTACTTTTTCTTCCTCTCTTCACCCCTGCCCAAAACATTTAATTTTCTTTGACACTAAAACCAAAGTAGTACAGATGCTGGAAATCAGAAACAAAATCATAAATTGCTGGAAAAATGTGGCTGGTCATGAATTGCATCATGGATTTCATTTGCTTTTAAGCGCTGAATCTTTGGGTTTATTTCTCCTCCAATGCCAATTTTATCCAATCTCGTTATTTTGAGCAGATCGCACCATATTTGGAGAATTTCAGAAATTGCGTCACTCGCATAACTTCCTCCGCTGCAAGGCTTGGTGTCTAAATTAGCACTGAGCATTTAATTGGAAGTGTATGGAATTTTCCCCAGAGTGAGTCAGAGAGTAGAATCTTGTCTCCAAATGCTTTTAATAGAAACATGCAATCATTTTTAGGTAGTTCCAATAAAAAAGAACAATGGACATAATTTCCCTGGAGGTGGAGAGGAGTGGAAATAGTTCAGTGAGCCGGCCCTAGAGAGAAACTCTCCACCTTCTTTTTCTTTACCCCACCCCCCCAAAAAAAAACCACTTGCAATGAGGTGCTGTGCAAGAGGCTCCCAGAGCCACTTTCCCAACTTGACCAGCAATTGAGGTCCTTAAGAGGTCAACTAATGACCACTTAAAAGCCCTGACGAACCACATCTCTGATTCCTAACTTCCGCAGAGGGTGGGAATAGTGACTGGATTCCAGACTAGGAATCTGTGGTGGGTTGGGGTCTTTTGATTGCCCCCAGTCGATGATGTGGATGGTAGGACCCCTCCTCTTGTCTCTGACCCTCCCTCTCACCCTGGTCTCTACCCCACAAGAAGGTGATGACCGAATACTATTTGTCAGTGGATCTTGCAAGGAGTAGGCCTCATCTCGTCGATTTTAGAGAAAGCTGCTGTCCTCTGGCATTTTATTTACTTGCCAACTTCGTAACTACCTACTCTTTTGCCTTGTTTCAAAAAAAAATTTGTTTCACCAGACTCTGTATCTTGGCTTTCCTTTCCTGTTCCAATCATTCCTGTGTACACGCAAATCATTCATGAAAATTTACTTCTTTTGACCATGTTTTTGGTCACTGGGCTAATGTCTCCATGCAGTTCAGTGTCAAATTTTGATGCATCTGGTGACCCAGGCCACCAGTGTTGAGATCTGTGATAGAAAAATCATTTCCTCGTGGGAAATTCCCATGATAGCACTCTCAACTTCAGTGAAGGTTTTGTAGGTTCAGACAGTACTCCTTGTTCAAGTGTATAAACCAGGCTGGGATTCCACCGCATGGCCACAGAAGTGTCGAATTGTTGACGATGCTGTCGGCCAGGCAAGATATCAGATTTGAGTACTGTCTGCCCTTTCTGGTGGAATTAAAAGTCAGCCATGATGTTATTGTGAAGAAGAGCGAGGGAGTTCTCCACGATGTCCTGGCCAATGTTTCACAGTCTATCGCAGACACTAACACCAATCGCCTCGCTGCCATCGCATCCATTATTTGTGGAATCCTGCTGCACAAAACCTCGCTGTTGTGTTTTTTTTCTTCCCCTACATTTGCAAATGTATTTCAAGTACCTAATTCGCTGCAAAATGCGTTATGAGAGCTCCTATAGAAACTCCAATTTTTCCTGATTTAATGAACCGTGGTGCAGCAAAGTATATTGGTAACAAAAAGTGATATATGGTTCTGAAAAAGCAAGAGATTGGCACAAAGTAATGAAACTCATCGGAAGGCCCTGAGCAGGTGTAATGGGCCGAATGGCCTCCTGCTGTGCTGTAACAATTCTTCAGTGGTTCTGTGAAAACTCCACGCCCTTCCTGTCTGTTTGGGTAGACAGGGAAGCTCAACAGCTCAGAAGAGACGTGATCACACTACCCAAGGAAGTCTCACTACTTCTGCTACTGTTACTGAGCAAAATAACTGGTGTATTTGATTACCCAGCAATAGTGACTGCATTTTGAAGTAATTCGGTGCACTTGAAGAGCTTTGGGACATGGAGATGATAAACTGCATTTCTCTGGCATTTTATTTACTTGCAGACTTAGTAACTACTTACTCTTTTACCTGGTTTTTAAAAAAAAAGTTTCACCAGACTGTATCTAGGCTTCCCTTTCCTATTCCAATCATTCCTGTGTACACACAAACCATTCGTGAAAATTTACTACTTTGACCATGTTTTTGGTCGCTGGGCTAATAGCTCCATGCAGTTCAGTGTCAAATTATGAATAGTGTTTCGCCTTGGAATGTTTCCTCATGCTAAAGGTGCTTTCCAAATAAATATCAAGAAGAAACCAAAGAGGCTGGAGAAACTCAGCAGGTCTGATAGCTTCTGCAGAGAGAGAAACAGACTTCTTGTTTTGAGTGTGCGGTATGACTCTGTATCGGCACTGATAGAGCTGGAAAGTTGATGGGTTTTATGCTGTGGAAAATCAGGGAGGAGGACCAACTGTCGAGATGCTGCCAAACAAAAGGCTGAGGGAGTGCTTGCTTTCATAGAGTCACGGAGCTCTACAGCATGGAAACAAACCCTTTGGTTCAACTCATCCAAGCCGACTAGATGTCCTGAATTGATCTAGTCCCATTTGCCAGCATTTGGCCCATATCCCTGTAAACCCTTCCTATTCATATACCCATGCAGATGCCTTTTAAATGTTGTAATTGTACCACCCCCCACCATTTCCTCTGGCAGCTCATTCCATACACTCACCACCTGCAGTGTGAAAATGTTGCCCTTTTAGGTCCCTTTTTAAGTCTTTCCCCTCTCATCTTAAACCTATGCCCTTTGGTTTTGGACTCCTGTACACCGGGGCAAAAAATCTTGGCTATTCACCCTATTCGTGCCCCTCATGATTTCATAAATCTCTTAGAAGGTCACCCCTCAGCCTCCGACACTCCAGGGAAAATAGCCCCAGCCTATTCAGCCTCTCCCTGTAACCCAAACCCTTCAACCCTGGCAACATCCTTGTAAATCTTTTCTGAACCCTTTCAAGTTTCACAACATCCTTTCGTGTGAACATTTCTGTTCTAGATCCGCTGCAATGTTTCAGTAAAGCCCAACACAAAGTAGAGGAACATGGAGGCTTCATCCATTTCGGCACTTCATCACTTTTAGGACTCCATATTGAGATCACCAATTTCATACGGTGACCTCCATCCCCCATTTTGATTGCATTTCTCTCCTCTCTCCCCCACTCATTTCCATTTCTTGTTTGCATGGGTTTGCTTTCAGTAGAGCTGAGCTATTAACATCCACTCTTCATCTGCATCTTTCCTTTACCATTAGCAGCCCTTTGCCTTTTAGTGTAGAGCACCTTTACCAGCTATTACACTTCCAGCTGCTCCCCTCTGTTGTTCCACAGTGTATAACCATCTCTTGTGAGGCAAGGTCGCTACCTCCAGACCTCCTGGCTTAGTTTCAAGTTCCACCTGCTCTAGAGATGCCTCACCATGTCTGAAGACAGGCTGATTCTAACAATGTCTAAGACCTAACTCTGTGCTGGACCCCTTCAGTTTCAAAGAAGAGACATAATGGACTTAAAATGCTGTCTGTCTTCACAGATGCTGCCAGATCTGCTGAGTTTCTCCTGCACTTTCGGTTTTCGTGTCAGATCTTCAGCGACCGCAGTACTTTGCTTTTGTTCTTATCCAAATGAATTTAATTGTTTTAAATTTTTCTCTACAGAGGATACTGTTTAAAATTTACTTCTGTAATGTGTCTCCCATTAATGAAGATAATTTGTCAGAAGAGTCAAAATTGAGTGAGACATTTTGGAAACTTGTTTCTGTCGTGTTTCAGTAATAATATTTTTAATATCTTTGCAGAAGCAACTAAAAAATGAAGCCAAGAAAGCTATTAACCAACTGGACCTACGCATCTTAAAGCATGGAGACCCGGTGTGTATTAATAGGAAGTGGCCTGGGTATAATTCGAGGATGAGTGCTGGGTATTCATGCAGTTTTTTATTCGAAGAGGGGGGCATTGGCATTTGAGTAACAGATGGATACAAAAGCAGAGAGCCAATCATCCAAGTTAATTTATCATCTTGTATAATGAGTAAAAATGATAGTTTTCAAATACCGATACTGTAATAGCTACATATGTGGTCATGTTTTTCTTACTGAACTGGAACCATTACTTTTCTAGACGAGGCAAAACAAAAGGCCTTGCTCTGGGAGTTAATCAACTTTTTTCCAATTTTGGATGGTCTGAAATAATTTGAGTGCAAATTTAAGCTTAAGTCAGAAATTGACCATTTAAAGCAATTTTGCGCCTTACAGATCACCCATGATCGAATTGGATAGTAGTAGAGCCTAGAGCGGCAAATGGACATATTCCTATTCTACCACTAGGCAGAAGAAGCCCTGCATAATTGAAAAAAATATTATTGTGAATGAGCAGCTGGCATTTCACCCATTTACGAGAGTCCCATTTTGGGTGGAATGGCTAACTTCTGAAGCCAATTTTTTTCTCCTCTTTGTTCATTTTTATGTTTGGTATTCACCGGTGTAGTGCCCACCACCCTTCCTGGAGGATCCTCAGCATTGAGGTTAACTTACTTCCATGCTGGGATGGACTTCAATGGACTAATCAGCCATTTCCAAACCCAATATGCAATCCGCTGACACTCTTTCTGCAGTGGGGCACGTGGTGCTTAAATGTTTGGGTGTTTGGAAGTAAGTGCACTGTCTCTGATGTCTCTACATCACTTCTGTGCAATCCCAATAAATTGCCTGGATGTGTTTGGTGCTCTTCCGAGTTCCTCCTGCATTTTCTGTTTTTATGTCTGATTTTAGTTGGTCTCAAGCCAGGGTCTTGCTTGAGTTGGCAGGTATGTTTGACCTCTTCAGGGATGTTTTGATAATGTCGTGGGAGAGTTTCTGTTGTCCTTCTGACAGTCTCCTGCTGTGACCATGTTCAGAGCTCACCACCAAGAGAGAATCTTGCCAGTTTTTTATTTGTTTGGTTTTAGACATTTGACTTTGACTTGAGAAAGAAGATCTAATATTAATTTGTGGGTCAAATATTAATTTGAGTTTCCTCACAATTAAGTCTCTGACTGCTCGTTAATGTGAATGTGCAAAAACAAGTTGTTCCTCTGCTGGTGGTCTAGCGGGTAAGGACCTTGTATCGACAATCCATTAAAATCATATTTAACCAAACTGTTTCTGATCTTCAGGAGACTGGTCCGGACGCTGACAGCTGTGCAGTGTGCATTGAAGCTTACAAGCCCAATGATGTTGTTCGCATCTTGACTTGCAAGTAAGTACTCCATCGTTTATATATAAATTGTTTTAAGCATCCAGCATGCATCATATGGAGAGGACAGATGAAATAGGTTGTCTCTAATAATCTAATGATTGATGCCACCAATGAATTATCCAGTTTATTACATGTCAAAAGGGCAACTTGTGTCAGAGTAAATAAACCCAATAACCATTAACATTTTCTTCCCCCATTGAACATCTGGAACACGTTGTCAATACTGATGTGTTGAAACTCAAACATGAGAAATAAGTCATGCAAGAGTGTTTAAAAACATATATAGAGATTTTCCTGGGGCAGCACAGAATGTGATTGGATTTTGCTCAGATAACATTTGCTGTGATGATTCTGGATCTTGCGAATGCTCTTTTTGACACTGGTGGTATTGAGTGTTGCAGGAATTGAGCTTGAGTTGGATCTATAATTGTTAGCATGGGTGTTATAGCTGGTGTTGATCAGTGTAGTGAGAAAATCGCTTAGGAAGAGCTCGCTGGAGCAAAACCTCATTGGGCCAGTTCAGGGATATGTATCATACTTGTATGTGTCAAGGTGACTTGTGTCCAGGAATTAGTAAAACATGACACGAAATAATATCCAGGTAGGAACATTTTACAGAGCATTGGAAGAAGTGAAACAGAAATACCATTAAATATTAAATGTGAATAATTTTGATATGCAATAATGATGGTACATCAGTATTGGTGAAGATGGGAGACTAATTATCAGGGATGCAAATTGAGGCTTTGTTTAAGAGGGTCAGGAAGGTCACTGACTTAAAAAATATGGTATTTTCAGAAAAGATAATTGTGCTGCTGTGTATGTTTGCTTAGTGTTGGTGAAATGGTGTATTGGAGAACTCACCTGGCCTGCACCAGGCAATTTGTTTGTTTTTTTGGAAACTGGTTTGAAGCATTGTTTGTTTGACATATCCCAGTGTTAGCCAGCTCCAGTACTGTTCTCCTCTTGGCAGGTAGAAAGCAAGGAGCCTTCCAGTACTTGCAACAATTACACAAAGTCCGACTTTGCACTCAGACAGCACCCTACCATATCTCAATATTGTTCCAAAGTGATACACAACCAGTTAAATGTTTGAAGTGCACTTATAGTTCTTAAATAAGCAAAAACGATGGCTAATTTGCAAATTTGATCTTTGTCATTCTAATTGCAGTTTGGTTCCAGAGAGATTGCTCCTGTACCCTGGGTTCCCCTTCTGGCCGAATACTCATTGGAGTTATTGTTGCTCAACAAAAACGTGTGCACGTTCTTACTTAACCATTTCAGTCTCTTGCATGCAGCCCTTTTCGGAGGGAGATGATGGCATGGTGGTAATGTCACTGGATTAGTAATTCACAGGCTCATCCTATCTAGTTCGCTAATATGCCTCAAGAGAAGGAAATCTGATGTCATGACCCTGGTCTGGTCTACATGTGACTCCAGATCCACAGTGATGTGGTTGACCGATAATGATCAGGGACGGGCTACAATTGGTTGGACCAGCTGTGCCCACAATCCTGAAAAGAATATGTAACCATTGCTTGACTGGTGCAATGTAAAAATTCTGTTTGTTTGCCTGTTCTGTGGAAACCAATGTTTTTTTTTAGAGAATTACTTACTCTGTATGAGGAAAACTACATCCCACTCAGTCATCTGATGTTTTCTGTGTAAATAGCTGAGAGAATCTACAGAACTGTACATTTATAGTGATGTCTGTGCTTCTTCTCAAAGATCAACTTGTCTCCATTTAATCCAACTGTCAGAGTTATTATTGCCTTGAACGCTGTACCTTGTATACGCTGTAAATGATTTCAAATGTATTTAACAGCTTGTCTTAAGGCAAGATCAAATGGATAGGTGCAATTATTTCCTGAGCCCCTTGTGAGTTGCATGGAGAGGCCTGCTCCGCTAAACCGATCTCTTATGTAAGGTCCTCATCTGTTCTAGTGATCTAAACAAAAACATAATCAGCTTGGGGCCTGACCTTGTGACTGAACATTTGGGTGGGAGTAATCTTGTGACTGAAGGTATGACAGCAAGTAATCCTGTGATTGAAATAGAACGACATCAAAGCCAGAAGTGCTCGATGTCATCAACGCCCCGATTTAAAGCACCTTATGGTGCATTGAAGCATTAGCAGTCATCTTCAATCGTCGAAACCACCTCTATTTACTTTGAGCATTTATTTTGTCTCAAAACCAAGTGCTACAGGTGAAAATGCCATGTATGAAATGTGTAAGACACAGGGAAGGAGTGCCAGAGTGTGAGCAATGTCCAACATAACCACAAGATCACCACAAGCCTGTTTGCAAAAAAAAAGCTCTTGTTGCAGCAGCATCATAAAGTCTCAGGAAAATATTTTGTTTACCTGTTTGCAAGCAATGAGTGTAATTGTGTAAAAGGCTTGCCACACTGTCTGTGCATCTTAAGATCTCTTGTTTCTCCCCCCTCCAGGTCTGGATGGGCTTATCAAACAATTCATTTCCTATTTTTGAAAGTCTCGTCAGTATCTATCAGGCAGCTATAAACATAGTCCTGCTTAATAAGAAGATGGGTATATAAAATATATTACCATTTAAAGGAAAGGATTGAATATGGCCTAAATTCTGGCAAGTTTTGTTGATCCAGATGTAAAACTTTTGACTGTGTCTTAGTATAACAAGTAAGAATGTGGTGCGTATGCGTATACCACTGTGCGCGTGTGTCAGTAAAACCCACATCGCTACTGTTTTTGTCAGGTGCAGGAGGAACTTGCTCTCTGAGCTGCTGTATGGTTCCATCAGGGAATGGTTTAAGGAGCAATAAACCAAAGAACTACAGATGCTGGAAATTGGAAACAAAAACAGAAATTGCTGGAGAAACTCAGCAGGTCTGGCAGCATCTGTGGAGAGAAAATCAGAGTTAACGTTTCAGGTCCAGTGACCCGCCTTCAGAATGGTTCAGGGAAGCCTATTAGTCAGGTCCATTACCCATGATGCTGTGTCCCTCTGACATAGTGAATTAAGGCAATCCCTTGTAGATCATTTTCAATTCAGTGACAGCTTTATATATTTTATTGGTTTCTCAATCTTCTATTCAGATTTAATTGTAGCTTTACATCTCCGAACAGAAGCCTTACATAAGTCAACATAAATTGTGATTTATCACAGTGTGGAGCTGGATGAACACAACAGGCCAGGCAGCATCAGAGGAGCAGGAATGTTGACATTTCAGGTTAGGACGCTTCTTCATTTTTTTTTTCTGAAGAAGGGTCCCGACCCGAAATGTCATCTTTCCTGCTCCTCTGATGCTACCTGGCCTGCTGTGTTCTTCCAGCTCCACACTGTTATCTCTGACTCCAGCATCAGCAGTTCTTACTGTCTCTGAATAAATTGTGATGTAACTGTAGTGAAATCAGACCTTTTTTTCCCTTTCACCTCTCCTCTGTCCTTAGCTTCTCTTGGTCTCCTTTCTCTGCTTCCTCTTTTATCTCCAATACCGTTACCATGGCAATGTGAATTAAGTGATACTGGTGGCCCAGTAACAACATTGATTAGCCATCCTTGAACGCCCGGCTTGCTTTCATCTTGGACGGCCACTTGTATTGCAGTGGTAGTGTCCCTATCTCTAAGCCAGGAGATCTAGGTTCAAGTCCCACCTTTTCCTTCATTCCACACACAAGTGACCCACTGTGTTTTTAAAAAAAAAAAATGTTGCCCCTCCTCTCACCTTTTTAAAAAAAATACCCCGAGTCTTGAATTCCCCTATCCTAGAGAAAAGGCACCTGCCATTCACCTTATCTATACCCATCATGATTTTATAAACCTCCTAATCAGGTCACCCCTCAACCTTCTACACCCCAGTGAAGAAAGGCTCAGCCTCTCCTTATAACTGAAACCCTCCACTCCTGGCAACATCTTGGTAAATCTTTTCTGAAACTTCTCCAGTTTAATATTAACTTTCCTACATGAGGGCAACCAGAACTGGACATGTTACTTCAGAAGAGGCCTCACTGTGGAATAACAATCTCCACAGGTTGATTAGAAAGTATCTACTTTCACCTTGGAGCTAAATGGACAGGTTAAAGCATGACTATTTATAGTCTGACATTATCAACAGTGTGTTGGGGGACTTTGAAGATTCTTAGTCCACTTTCCAATCCAGCTGAAAGGCTGCTGCCATTATCTCCAAATATAAATCCTTTGCAGCTTCTTTCCCAGGATAACAGCCTGAGCCCCCGTTTATCTCTCAAAATCTAGCCCAGGCTTGCTATGAAGAAGACTTCAGAAAAGAACACAAGACCAGCCTCATTTTTCCTGAAATTACAGGCACAATGGGGCGGCATGATGGCTCAGTGGTTAGTACTGCTGCCTCACGGTGCCAGGGACACCGGCTTGAATCCAGCCTCGGGCAACTGTATGTGTGGAGTTTGCATATTCCTCCCATGTCTGTGGGTTTCCTCCGGGTGCTCCGGTTTCCTCCCACAGTCCAAAGATGTGCGTGGACTGGCCATGCTAAATGGCATCATAGTGTCCAGGGATGTTCATGCTAGGCGGATTAACCGTGGGAAATGGGGGGACAGGGTAGGCAGTGGGTCTGGGTGAGATACTCTTCAGAGGGTCTGTGTGGACTCGATGGGCCAAATGGCCTGCTTCCACACTGTAGGGATTCTATGATTCAATCCCAAAAATTAGGGCTACCTTACAATCGTGAAGCAGGAGGTTTATAACACCGGTTAATAGAGGAATTAAAATTGCTAACAGTGCAGTAGAATGTATTTGTAGTGGTCTGTCCAAAAGTAGAGGAATGTTCTAATTGCTAGAAGATCCTGATTGAGATACACTTGGATAACTGTTCAGTTACCCTACTATAAGAAGGACAAAAGCAATGGAGAAAAATCCATGTACACAGGGATTGTGCCAGAACCAAGAAATCACACTATCAGACTAGATTTAAATACATCTGGATTGAAAAGTAAATTATTGGTAATTGTGGACGTGGCATTATATCCGAATGTTGGGAAAAATTTGGGGAAGGGAACTTGTTATCCTGATTTGACACCAGACCTACCACAATGTGAATAAATGCTTCAAAAACGGCCGGGCAAGCTACTCTGTTTTGCCAAATGGCTTTGTTTGTAACATCAGCTTCTTTGGAGAGAGTTTCTACTTGAACAGCAAATAAATTGAGTCACTTTGTCCTCCAGACGACCCAAAATGCTACGCAGCCAATGAATTGCTTTTGAAATGCAACCACTAATGTCTGTGACCATGGCAACAAATATACTCCCAGCAAGATGCTACAAACAGTATTAAAAGATGTGAGAGTATGACCTGTTTTTTATATTCGTGAAGGTGCTATTTGAGGGACCAGTATTGGCCAGGGCAGCTATCATGATACCCAGTCAAGATTTTAATAGCTCCTGCGTGTCATGTGTTTGTTATTTTGGCAAAATGTACATACCATCGCTTCAACATTTTTAATCACAGCAATTTAACAGTTCAGAAATCTATGAAGAATTTATTCAGTTGTTTACAGCTATTCAGTAAGATAGCTAGGGATGTTGTGGTTGGTTCGCTCGCTGAGCTGGTTCGTTAGTTCGCAGATGTTTCATTACCCTGCTGGGTAACATCATCAGTGCAGCCTCTAGTGAAGCGCCGTTGTGTTTTCCCGCCTGGTATTTAAACTCTGGTGTCCGTTGAGCTGGATTACCTTACTTCCGGTTTTCCTTCGCAATGGAGTGTATATGGGGTTTAGTTCTGTGTTTATTGATGGCTTTCTTAGTGGAGAACCAGGCCTCTGGGAATTCCAGTGCTTGTCTCAGCTTCTCCTGTCCCAGGATCCTGGTGTTGTCCCAATCAAACTCCACTAAGAAGGCCATCAACAAACACCTAGAGCTAGACCCCATATACACTCCATTGCAAAGGAAAACCAGAAGTGAGGTAATCCAGCTCAACGGACCCCAGAATTTAAATACCAGGCGGTAAAACACAACGGCGCTTCATTGGAGGCTGCACTGATGATGTTACCCAGCAGGGTAATGAAACGTCCGCGAACTGGCAAGCCAACCAACCACAACATCCCCAACCCGAGCTACAAATCTACTCTAAAACCTTAGCTCGGGATTGCATTGTATGCTGTCAGCTCTTTAAACCCAGGGCACTACATTCATATCTCGTGGTCTCTCTTTGCAGCCACATATTCCATAAGCACTGTATTGATCCATGGCTTCTGGAGCATAGAACCTGCCCTATGTGTAAATGTGACATCCTGAAAGCTCTTGGAATTGAGGTAAGTTAATAATGGGTTAATTAATGCCATGATTTAAAGCTGTCAGTAAGGAAATTAAAATAAATGCAATGGTACACTCTGCCTTTTAAGGGTGGATACACTGAAGACTAGGATTTTAATTTGTATAGCACCATTTGTGATCTTTGTTGATCACAAACTAACTTCTAGCCCATGAGGTACAAGTGAAGTGCAACTATGTATGTAGGAGAATGTAGCAACAATTTACATTCTGCAAAATGCCAAAATGTGGTAATGACCAGATAATCAGTTGTGTTTTTTTTAAAGAGACGTTGGTCAAATATTGACCTGGGTATCGACACCTTAGATGACCTCGTTGATCTTTAAGGTGCCCTATTCTCTCCCCAGTTGCTGTTTTGCTCTTATTGTACCTATAGAATTTCTTTGATTAGCCTCAGCCTTATCTACCAAGGCTATCTCATATCCCCTTTCTGCCCTCCTGATTTCCCTCTTAAGAATGCCCCTACACACCTTTTATAATCTTCAAGAGATTCACTTGATCCTGATTGATTGATTGTACCTAATATATGACTCCTTATTCTTGACCAGACCCTCATTATCTTTATTCATTCATTATTCACTTCACTCTAACAGGAACATAATGCCTCTGAACTCTCATTATCTCACTTTTGAAAGCCTCCCACTTGCCAGTTGTTCCTTTACCCCAATCAACTTTTGAACGTTCCTGTCTCATACTATCAAAATTTGCCTTACTCCAATTAAGAGCTTTAACTTTTGAACAAGGCCTATCCCTTTACATAACTATTTTAAAACTTAGTCCAAAAATGCCTCTCTTGCCACCCCCCCCCGCCCGCCGACTGCAACTCCTGTTTCTATCCTACCTATAGCATCTGAACTCCAGAACACTGAGCTGCCAGTCCTGTCTCTCCCTCAGCCATGTTTGTGTAATATCTATGATATCCCAGTCTCAAACATGCCCTGAGTTCATCTGCCTTGCCCTTGCACTGAAATAAATGCAGCTTAATTCTTCAGAGTTACCTTGCTCTCTGACTTGCTTTTGCCTGTCTTTTCTAATTAACTTGCTGTCTTTAACTTCAGAACCATCCTCGTCTGTCTTTCTATTCTCGCTATTTTTGATGATGCCCCCCTCCCCCTCCCCCCACCGCACACCCCCTCCCTACTAATTTAAAGGCTCCCAAGGAGCACTAGCAAATCCTCCCTGCCAGGATAATGGTCTCCTTCTAGTTCAGGTGAAACCCGCTTCTTTCTAACAGAACTTTTCTGCCCCAGAAAAGATTCTAATGATCCAAAAATCTGAATCTTTGCCCCCTGCACTAGCTCCTTAGCCATTGATTTATTTGCCCTTTTTTCTTCTTCCTACTCTCATGAGCAGGTGACACTGGAGTAATTCAGACATTACTACCTTATTGAGGTTCTGCTTTTTAATCTCCTACCTAACTTCTGATGTTCTGCAAAGGCTCAACCCTTTCCCAAACTATGTCATCCTTACTGAGGTGTACAACATCTTCTGGCTTCTCGCTCTCTGCTTTGACAATATGCTGCAACCACTTTGAGATGTCCTCGACCCTGGCACCAGGGAGGCAACATGCCATCTCAAATTCATGCCGATAACTGCAGAATCTCCTGTCTCCTCTGAAAGAATTGGGAGCAGAATTAGTCCATTCAGCCCCTCAAGCCCATTCGCATCTAGCTGTTATAACCTTTGATACCCCTCCCTAATTTCAGAATCTATGGGTATGTCCACCTTTTAAAAATATTCAACAACTGGGGCGGCATGGTGGCTCAGTGGTTAGCACTGCTGCATCACAGCGCCAGGGACCCGGGTTCAGTTCCACCCTCGGGTGACTGCGTGGAGTTTGCACGTTCTCCCCGTGTCTGTGTGGGTTTCCTCCGGGTGCTCCGGTTTCTTCCCACGGTCCAAAGATGTGCAGGCTAGGTGGATTGGCCATGCTAAATTGCCTGTAGCGTTCAGGGGTGTGTAGATTAGGTGGGTTATAGGGGGATGGGTCTGGGTGGGATGCTCCAAGGGTCGCTGTGGACTTGTTGGGCCAAAGGGCCTGTTTCCACACTGTCAGGTTTCTCTGTGTTCTGTGTGTAACTCCACCTCTTTCTGATGCAGCGAGGTCTAAAGTTGCACAGCTCTCAAAACTTTTCTCCTCATCTCTGACCTAAAAGGGTGATCCCTAATGTTTAGACAGTATCCTCCTAGTTCTGGACTCCCCCACAAGAGAATATATTCTTTGCACATGTGCCTTGTTCAAGACCATTTAAGGTTCTCGAATACTTCCATCAAGTCACCCTCAATATTCTGGAGTTGGACTTAAACCCGCAGCCCTTTATTCCCAAGGTGAGAGTGACCCCATTGAGTATTTACTGACACTATCCAGCGCCACGTCTGCGTAGCTCTGTCAACACAATGTGGGTAATGAAGCCTGTTTTGAGTAACTCCCATTAGGAATTGCAAATGTCTTTTGGCAGAGTTCAATAGCTTTCACAGTTGATATTTAAGCTGCTTCATTCCACGTATCTTTTTCTGTTCCCCAGTTGTTTCATTGGTTTCTACTTGGCACAGGTTGACATAGAAAAGGCTGAAGAGACACCGGCACCTGAGCAATCGTCCAGCAATCCTCAAAGGACCGGGCAGGACAGACACACCGACGTTCCCGAGAGTGCCATTTATACTGTACCAGCTGCTTTTGGGGCTGAGCATCGATTGGATGAATCTCCTGTAACTGAGGATAATCACTATTTCAGTGAGTAAACTTTTGTCTCCTGTGGGTCTGGTTAAACTGAGGTTGATTGTCACTCTGGGTGTGTATTTCTGAGTGTTTTTGTTTTCAAAATTGTGCTGGATGTAAAAGTGACTTGATTCTCATTTTAAAAAGTGGTGCAGTATTCAAAATACGTTACGCATGGAAGAATGTATCCCATCCAGATATTAAACTTCATGCACGTTTGACTATATTTTCTAGCTAGCCTATTTGTCAATACTTACTGATAATCGCTTGCTGGTGATGGGTGAACTTGACCATTGCCAGAAAAGAGACATGGAGTTGAAAGCTTTTCTCTTGCACTCCTCAGGACTGAAATGCAAGAAAACCAATTTAGTTTATTCAACATGAGAAGGTGCTGATTGTTTTGACTGTGATTGGCATGGAGATGCAGCTTCAACTGTTAACTTCCTGAGTTTGCTGATTAAATTCAAACCAGGAAAGTCGATTTCTGGTCAGGGACTTGCTGTGGGAATGCAGGAAGGGATGCTGTCTTTGTGCTTTCCTCATTTAGAAATGTTTAATGTGCAGACATGCTCTATGTGGGCAAAAGAACCCTTTTAACAGTTTGCAGCGAGCAGCATCCAGACCATGCTTAACCAGCCTGTGCTTCTAGAACATGGAATCACATTTTAATGTTGGATACTGCTGCTAGACAACATTTTGGTAAATAATCCTGACTGTGCTAAGGATTCCACTGGAAAGTTTATCAGGCTCATTGTGTGATTCATTTACGAATGCCAGATGCAAGACAGATTTCCAACCATTAAGGGAATCGATGTTTGGGGGGAAAAGACAGGAAAGTGGAGTTGAGGATTGTCAGATCAGCTGTGATCTCATTGAATGGCAGAGCAGGGTCGATGGGCAGAATGGCCTACTTTTGTTCCTACTTTGTGTGGTCCAAGTTACATGTATTCCCACAAAGGGCTCTGTTTCTGCCTACGAAACAAGAACAATGTATCTGCGCACACCACCATTTTCACTGAGGAAAGGGCTCTGAAGAAGGCCAATCACTGCCTCATCCCCAAGGCAACACCCTGACCAATCCTGATGATTTGATCTATTGTCACTTGTACCTAAGTACAGTGAGAAGTCAATACAGTGTGGAGCTGGAGGAACACAGCAGGTCAGGCAGCATCAGGGCAGTAGCAAAGTCAGTGTTTTGGGTTTATACCCTACTTCAGGACACCCTGATGAAGGGTGTAAACCCGAAACGTCGACTTTCCTGCTCCTCTGATGCTGCCTGACTTGCTGTGTCCCTCCAGCTCCACACTGTACTGACTCTGACTCCAGCATTTGCAGTTCTTGCTATCCCTACAGTGAAAAGTTTTTTTGTTTTTGCATGCGGTACAAGTAGATCATAACACACGAGAACGTACGGATCATAGGCTGTTTAGACAGAGCGAGGCATATAAGGTTACAGCTGTACAGGAGGTACACAAAAGCAAGGTCAGCATTAGATTTGAAATTAGAGGTCCATTCAGCAGTCTAATAACAGCAGGGAAGAAGCTATCTTTGAACGTGTTGGTGCATGTGTTTAAACATCTGCCCAGTTTGAATTTAATTAGTTAAATAAGATCATTAACCATTCTTACTGCATCTCCATGCCAACCATAGTCAAACTAATCAACACCCTTTCCATTGCTGTTCTTTCCTTCCTCAAGTTGAGTCAAGACAGAAAGGTCTGACTTGCGTCTCCTTAGAGATGATTAAATGCTTACTTCTTTCCCTTGCTTACAAACCTGTATCTCTGTGCTTACTGATGTTTAAAGACTGACCTCTTTCCTTTACTTATGATTCTTTTTCTCTGCGCTCTCTGCAGGTGAAGAGCAGCATCTGGTCCATAATGATGCGCGAGTGAATTCTCTGTCTGTATATGTTCTGCCACAGGACAACCCAGTGTATGAAGAGATTGATCTACAAGATGAAGTAAAGTCGTGAATCATCCCAAAGAAGTAAAACCTTGAAAAATAAAGCCAACTATCGACTGATATGCAGGGAGCGTCTCTTAAATGAACTGCTTTCTTCAAACAGACTTTGGAGTGGCCCACAGTCTACACTTTTTTCTGCATTTTTTTAATGCCAATGTTATAAAGAGACAAATGATTTTTAAGTAGTATAAGAATAACAGGCAGCTCGTGATTAGTCCTTGTGCTGAAATTCTCAGCACTTCATGCAATAACTGCAGTTAATTTAACTGATATCTGGTGACCACAAGGCTGCAGTAAAGACCAAGACTGTTGAACATTATTTTTAACATACAAAGCTAAGACAATAACAGTTTGCTTTAACCTCTGGTTTTCTGTGTGGAGGTGGGGGGAGAAGAGAGTTTGAGGTTGGGAAAGAGAAGCCTTCTACAAATGCCAGTGCATTCCTGGGGACTTCCTATTCTGACTCCACCAGGGAAAATAAATCTTACAAAGTAAAGGCAGGTTTTTCTTTACAGCAAGACACATAACATGCCAATAAGTCATCAGTAACAAAGGACACAGCAATATGTCCTACAGCCCCGATGGGATTCTTGACAGTAACTTCATAGTTGAAAACCACATTTTGAAAGTCTACTACTTAAACCAATCTGTAAAGTGGAATCCATTAGTTCTGCGCCTTTAGTGCATTTCCAGCACTCTGCTGACTGCACCAAATTGCACTACATGTTGATGAAAATGCAAGCAAAAGGTTAATTGTCACCCTATTAATATAAGTCTACAATAGTGCGAACAAAGCCTGTGCTGTCTGTTTGTGGTGTCACTCCTGGTTAATTGCATCCCTGATGTGAAAAGGATTTTTGATTTATCATTTACATTATGTAAAAGGCAGTGCATTTGGTACATTTCCTGCACGATTGGTGATGCATTTACCAGTATTCTGCTCAACTGAAAGGAATAGCTATTTTTACATTCTTTTTTAGTTTGTTTTTGATTCTGAAACAATGGAGCGGTTGACTTTTAAAGCCAAACTGGTCATCTGTTTTCAGAATCCTAAAACAAGCTGATAATCTGTTTGACCCCTGCATTAGTTGCCTTTAATCAAACCTCGTGGTCAAAGACTTTTCTCTGAATACAAATCATAAGCAGAATTGGCTTCCTTTATACAAATTAATGTTTCTTTCTTTTTATTTGAAAGCAATTCTCTTAACTCTCAATAAAATAAATCTATTTTGGAGATAAATCACTTGTGGATATTTTATTTAAACACTTTGAGTACTTAATTTGGTTCAGCTAGAATAAAAGGGAAGGAAAACGTGGGAGAGGAAGATGCTCACTAGTCTTGTGAGGCCTAATTAAGTGCGATGGAGTCTTTGCAACTGACTAGTTTTTCTATCACTTTCCAAAGTAAACTCATGTCTAATTCTTCAAATTCCAAAGAATAGTTGTTTGTGAAGAGGCAGGGTGAGAAAGCAATATTTTACACAACTGCTAACAGTGTAGGTTCAGAAGCCTTTGGAAGGAGATTATAAGAGAGCGTGGGATTTCAGATTAACTTTTTAATGGTATTTTTAAAATTGTAATTGTAATTCCACTTCTGCCTTGATTTATATCTAGCTTGTACAGTACTTTTGCACAATTGGTTGGAAGCAGTTTTGGTGTTTTGGACATTTTGCACAGTCGTTCTCCTTTTTCAAATGGAAGGGAGACTTTACATTCAGATGTACTTGCCTTGATATGCCTTGAGTTTTTGATTTTACTCACTACACACTTTTTTTTTTGCTACCAAGCAGCTTTCCAAAATTCAGTGGCTTCGTAGTTGACATCTGTGAATCATTCTCCTTGGCTTTGTGTGGGAGAGGTCTTTTGAGAGGAGGTGGAAAATACAAGCTATCAAAATTGACTGTGTATTACTTGCTGCATTGATTTTCAAGTGTCATGAACAGCTCCTGCTCTGTGCTACTTCAGTATGTTGAGGTTCCACCAGGTTGGCATGTTATAGCTGGTTACTGTAGGAGGGAATACCATAGAAGCTGGTACTTCATTCTGTGAAGTTTGCTAAGTCATGTTGCTCACCTAATGCCTAGTGTTGATCTTTCTTTATATACACAAGAAGATTCTTTGGAGTTACTTGGTTTTCCAGACATCAGTAAAGTAAAATTGCTTCCCTGGATTAATCATGGATCATATGAGCCATCCATCGCCTTGAGATGCCATCCACAGATTTTTTTTCTGACTCTGAACAGAATTTTTTTTTGGATTGAATGTCCAACACAGAATAACTTTCTGACAAAAAGGCAGCAAAATTCAACAAAAGCAGTACACTTGCCAGGAGTTGCATTTCTAATGAACAAAGCAGAAATCAAACCTCTCTCAATGTCTTTGCCTTCACAGAAGTGCAATCCAACTTGTTATTGAATACAATATTTTAACTCCCACATTGTAGAATGCTTGCTGGCTAATTTTAGTAAACGCCTATCACTGTGTTCAATAAATATTATAAAAACCGAAAGAACTGTGGATGCTGTAAATCAAGAACAAACAAGTTGCTGGAAAAGCCCAGCAGGTCTGGCAGCATCTGTGAAGGAAAAAACAGAGTTAACGTTTCAGGTCCGGTGACCCTTCCTCAGAACAGTTCTGGGGAAGGGTCACTGCACCCGAAATGTTAACTCTGTTTTGTCCTTCACAGACGCTGCCAGACCTGCTTGTGCTTTTCCAGCAACTTTACTTTTGTTCTCAATAAATATTATGTCCAACATATGCATCACCACTGCCACAGAAAGTAAAGAACCACCCCAAGCTTTCATCATCTGTTTTCCATTTCTACCCCCCCACCAACCCCGTAGTTATCTTCCCTTGTGCAGCCACAAATATTATTTTTAAAACATTGATACTTGATTTGATTTTTCAAAATGGTTGCAAATCAGAATTGAAAAAAAAATCCTCCAGAGGTTGCCAAATTCTGAATTTTCCAATTGGTGTTACTTTAATCCCAGTGATAACCCATTTAAAATTGTTGGGTTAACCCCAGGGTTAAAATAGTGCCGGTTGAAGAAAAAGATGGGAACAAAAGTGGTACACGAGAGAGTCTGCCTGTGGCCCAGAGAATATTAGAATATCCGACACAAACTAAGCATCAAATAATAATGTGAATAGGTCGCTTTCTGCTGCGTTGGCTATTGTTTATTTGGATGCAATTTTCTCTTTAAATATCTGATTGCTGTGACCGGAGCTGTAGTATTGTTGGATAGAACCTCACCCCTTCTAAACATACAGCTCCAACTATACAACATTAACTTCTACCAAAGCTATAGTTTGTCTTTAACCTTTTGTCAATGGAGAGTCACTGGGGTATCATTTTTAACTGAATCAATGGAGAGTAAAATTGGGTGTGGTGCAGAACCAGCTTCGCCCTCAATCTTTTCAATTTTGTGATGGGCAAGTTGGGTGAAAATTGCTTCCACACTACTCACTTCTTATAGTCAACATGCCTTTAATTACAAGGTTGGAAATTAGTCTTTTTAAATGTAAGAGATTCAAAGGCCTTAAATACTTATTAAAATCACTCATTAAAACAATATGCAACATTCTTCATATTAATCACATGCACTTTATTTAGGGAACTTAAATGATTTTTTTTTATTTTGCTTTCTTGGGTGAGCTTAAATGAGAATGTTATAGCTGGTATCCTGCAAAAGCTGACTTCTCAAAGAAATTTAAATGGTACTTGGTGGGTTTATACTACACAACACTTCTGTTTTTTTTTTGAAAAAAAAGGGATGTACGCATTTGTACCAGACTTTTCTGTGAGAATTTGTTGTACATATGATTTTTAAAAATCATTTATATTGTCAGGATTCCTTTAGCAAAGTGTAAATAAATTTGATGTTCTAATAAATGGTTTACAGTCTGTGTATGAATAATTATTGTAAAATAACAGGCTATTGAAGCTCACCAATTCATCATTCCGTTAAAATGTGGGGCTGGCACTAGGTTGGGCAGAATTTTACACCCAAATAGTGGGTGGCTGACCCCTCCCTAGAGATGGGCCTTCCCCTGACCTGTCCTGTGGGTCTTTTGTCCTTGTCCAGGGAAGTGAAGGTGATTTCTTTTTCTGTTTAACAATATTTCTAATCAACCCGATCAAAGATGTTATTACACACCTCTCGAGCAGGTGGGACTTTAACCCAGGCATCCTGGTGCAGCGGTAGGGACACTACCACTGGGTCACGAGAGGGTCCCCGGTTCCATGTGTTTTTTTTTAAGCTGTTTTTGTAATTTTTTTTCCACATCACCCGTGGTTATATATTTTTAAGATAGTGAGACAGAAAAATGAAGACACTTGTGAATAGAGTTTATAATTATTTATATTCTTTTCTCCACTACCAGGGAAACCCTTATGTGGTCATTTGAATATTTGAAGGTGACCTCTTCATCCATGGCCAATTGAAGACCATAAATGACAAGTTAATAGTTGTTTAATGATGACCTCTTGTCACCACTGGTACTTCTCTTGCATTGGTTGAGGCCACACATACTATCCAGCTTACCTGGTTTAAAAACTGACGGGCAGGCCATTGGGTTGAGGTTGTGTCTCCTGTTTAGGAACCTTGTACCTGTTGGAGGCTCTCCTTGCCACACTGTGTCCCCTTTGACCTTGCCCTGTCCACCCTGGCGTCCTCTTGTCCAGTAGGCTTGCTGTCATCCCTGTAATGGCCACTGCACATAGTGGCGCTGCTGAGACACGAGGGCTGCAGGCCATTTGGCAACTTTTTGGGATGGGACAGCATCTCCGATGTTTGATTCAGGACTTTCGCCACCAAAGGCCTGATTGGCTGTTGAATGACCGTGTGCAGCATAATTGCCAAGTGCAAATGAGCTTGGTGTTGACTGCGTAGCAACAAGAACAGTGGCGCTTGGAAAGGAATATACTGGAGCACCATTTTGAGGTATCTGAGTTGGTTTGGTATGACTCATTCACAAGTTTTAGTGATTCTTTGTTTTGTACTGGGTATTGCACCAGGGGCAGAGACCTCACCCTTGCGTGAAATGTTCCAACCTGAAGTGGCTGAATCAAAGTTCAAAAGCCTCAGTTCTGTCACAAGATGGCATCTCTCTGTGCCTGGGCCTGTCACCAGTTAGCACGTTGGTGTGTGGGAAGTTTGCAATTCCTTTACCTCTAGGATCACAAAGGCATTTCTTTTAGGTCTATCTTTAAACTAAAATCTCCACTTTTACTCTTCTGCCCTTTGATCCAGCCAACCCGTTGGGGAAGTTCCTGCTTCCCCCCCCACTCAGGCCTCTGGTGAGACAAACGAGTGAGGACACAGTGACTTGTAATTGAATTCTTTGTATCATTCTTCATAGTCTAATACCTTGGTTAAGAAGCGTGAAATATTAGATGTGACGTGTGTGTGCGAGAGAGAGAGAGACAGACAGGAAACAAGGGATTTAGCATCTTTGAATGTCGATTAAACCACCACCAGGCCCAGATCGTCAGACTGTTAAGAGGAACAGGCGAGGGCAATTGAATACCTGACCATATCTTCCAAGCCCCCACCCTCTTCAAACTACATTTGGTTTAGCTCCCTGTCCCTCTTCCTACCTCTCCCTCACCTTTGATGGTCTGCATTGCCCTAAATAGACTGTGCATGTAAATTAAGCAATTGGACAAGATGGGTGATTTAATGCCAGTGGTTATTAGGTGAACAAAGATACCACGGGTAATTTGGTGATGAGAAGAAAATGTTCAGTTCTGTGTAAGAACGCTTCTGGATGAGGGAGAAAAATATTTTCCAATCCAAGGGCTATTGTGGCATAGTAGTAATGTCCCCACCTCTGATCCAGGAGGCCTGGGATCAAGTCCCACCTGCTTTAGAATAAATAGATGAAAATTGAATAAATATATTGCCCTGACTAATTCATATGACATGATTGTCGCTGGGTGGGCCAGCATTTAGTGTCTGTTCCTCATTGCCCTTGAAGTGGTGGTGAGCTATCTTCTTGATTCACTGCAGTCCATGTGCTGTAGGTACACCCAAAATGCCATTAGGGAGGGAATTCCAGGATTTTGACCCAGCGACACTGAAAGAACAACGATATGTTTCTAAATCAGGCTGGTGAATGGCTTGAAGAGGAACTCCCATGTGGTGTTCCCAGGTATCTGCTGCCCTTGTCCTTCTGGATGGAAGTGTATATGTGTTCAGAAAGTGCCGTTTAAGGATAGTTGGTGAATTTCTGCAGTGCATCGTGTAGATGGTACACACTGCTGCTACTGAGCGTCAGTGGTGGAGGGAGTGGATGTTTGTGGATGTGGTGCCAATCAAGTGGGCTGCTTTGTCCTGAATGGTTTCAAGCTTCTTGAGTGTTGTTGGAGCTGCACCAATCCAGGTTTTCATTGCTTGTTAGTGCAGAAGGAGATGCAGGCAGCTTATCCTGGTGGGAAGGCCTGAGCAGTTAAGAGTGAACATCTCACTGTGTGGCACCATGCTACATCAAAGTCACGCCAACAGCATGTGCCAGCAGTTGACATGGTAAACACCTTGCATTTGTTTCAAGCAAATGGCCAAATTTGAAAGTCAAAGGAGAAGAGACTTTTTTGTGGAATCAAGTGAGATGACAGTTAGAAGGTGCCACCACACTCAGTCAAGGTGTTTACAAGATTCCAATACAATGGTTGGCATTTCATCAAGTGTTTGATCCAACCAGAGTCCAACGATCTGTGTCCTTGCCATCCATGGATTGGGCCATATTCAGTCTTGTAGGGTAAGTGTAAACAACCCAGGGATCACAACAAGTAGTTCAATTGGGGTGCTGTGGAAACATCAATCTGACAGGGTTATTCCAAATTTTCCTGCAATGTGATAAAGGGAGGGATTATGCATGACGGAGGTGGATGGAGGAGCAGTCAGTTGTGGTGCAGGTGTCCCCAGTGCATGACTAGGAAGCAGGCAGAGAGCAGGAAAGGTTATTACTTTGGGACGATGAGGTGGATGCAAGCCATTAAGTGGACAAGATGCATGTAAAAGTGGGAGCTGTAGTACATGTGCCTTACTGATTTATGTGCGCAGGGACAGAGTTAGAGTGAGTGCTGGCCCAGTGAGCATGATGTAACAGAGAGAGGATGGGAGAACGCACCCTTGTGGAGTGGATGAGATAACTGACGTTCTTCTGACCTTGCCACCCTTCCACTTCACCTGGGGTCACAGCACTGACCCAGGCTGGCTTGGTCTGGGGCCCTGGTCTCCTGTGGTAGTCAGCTCCTCTTCACCACCTTTTCTGCCAACATCTCCAGGTCCCATTCTGTGGAACAGGAAGTGAGCTTTTGTTGGTAAGATTGTCTTGAATGTAATGCTCAGTGTGGAGGGCAGTTCCTGGCTTGCAGCATCTGATGTTATGGTGTACAGCTAGGCTTTAAATATGGTCTGCAGGCAGTATCAGACATAACGTACCGGTGGTGGGGCGCAATTCTGCTATTTTTGGCCGCATGACTTTCCCAAAAGAGGCACCAAAGAGTCCAGTTGCGTAATTAATGAGGTGAAGAACTGAAGGTTACTGGAGAAAGGTCGCTCTGAACCAATAGTGGACCAGGTGACTTGAATTTGACTCAACACTTCAACTGAAAGTGTGGAAATTCCACCAATATTTGCGAAAGATTTTGTACTAAAATCAGTAACTGCAGTCTCCATCTTGTGGATGTTAAAGGAATGTACTTTTGTAGTTATTGCAACACCTCATACAAATATTAAAAGCTCACTAACTACAGTGACCAATCCCTCCAACTCTATTTTGATTTCGTCCCTTCCCACTCTCCCAACAACATCTCCCCCTCAATTTTGATAGTTTGCATTGCTGATAATGGGCTTTGCTTTAAATACTCAAGTGGATACAGTGGTGTTTTTACTGGTAGTGGTTACTAGTTTAGAAAAAAACAAAAAGTCACAGTGAACTTGGTGGTGGGAAGGCACTCCATTGTGCGTGACAACACTTCTGGGTAGGTGAGAAAGAGAAAAATATATAGTGACTATTTGCTTCATTGCAGGAATGAGACTAGACAAGATGAAGAATTGTGACACAATTAGCAAGCGTTGTGATTATTCCATTTTCTGATGAAAAATCATGATGGACACTAAAACCTTCCTCTCCCCCTCTGGTTTTGAGCATTAGTGAGAAAGTTGGGAAAATATGCCAAGAGTGAGAAATGCAGAATCTTGAACTTGAAGAAAATGTATGCAAGTTTCCCCTTAAGACTCACATAATGGCTTTAGAATCTCACCACTGAACATTAACAGGAAGAAGGTAGTCAATAATAACCTATTTCACCTTATATATACACAATTTCCGATCCGATCCTTCCCTCCTGCCCTGAGAAATTGGCAGAAAGGTCCAACACATAAATCATAGAGAGCTGATTCAGAGGTGGCTGCAGCTCACTTGTCCTGGCCAACATCCAACGATTTCTTCACAACAATGTCCCTGCATGCTCCATGGACACCATCCTCCTCGACCTTCCACCCATGCCAAGTGAGCATCAACAGACAACCAGCTTCGCCACATCATCGTGCCTGCTTTTGGATCAGCTCTCACTCCAGCACATCACTTTGGGTTCAGAGACACCTCGGACTTGTTAGCTTCTGCAGGTTGCTTTGCATGCAGCATGCACGTACATCAGCTAAGGAAAGCTATCCTTAGAGGCAGTCCAGAGAGGGTTCACTAGGCTGATACCAGTAATGGAAGGACTTTCTTAGGAGAAGAGGTCAAGCAGATTGGGCCTGTACTGACTAGAGTTTAGATGAACAAGAAGTGATCAATATGGAAAGGTTGTTTCCCCTTGTGGGAGAGTCTAGGGTGAGAGGGTTTAATCTCAGAATAAGGGCATTTAGGACAGACGAGGAGGAATTTCT